TTCTCCGCCGGGGGGGGGGGGGGGGGGGGGGGGGGCTATGCATCCCTGCACTATATATATAAACATGTGTAATCTGTTTCATTCATACTGGACTTCAGAGGGCGCCCTCGCTTGGTAACTCCACATACACATTACAGAAATAACAGAACTGATGACGCTCTAGGAAATCCCTAATATGGGCAAAGGCATAAAGCTATCAAAGATAAAGGCTTGAACCAGGGGAGTTGCCAGGGTTGGGAGAGATAAGGGGCGTAAGCCCCGTAAAAAAACTAAATAAAACAAAAAAAATTATTTTAAAAAACTCTGCCATAATTTATTTTAAATACATTACTTTCATACTAAGTAAAATTTGAATCTATTAATATATTTATTGACATATCACTTAGTGATATAACATTATAATTTAATTTAATTTTAATTATTTTGTTATTCCACAATGCACATTTCTTAATATTATGCCTAAAATATGTTTTAATATCACTATTAATAAGGATTGTATGATCTCTGTATAATATCGGTCTTTAAATGCAAGATATTTAAAGTGTACCTGAAGTATACTTGCAATAGTTCCACTTTAGCACAATATAAGCCCTACTTCAGTATATCTTTAGTTGACTTCAGCACTACTTCTACACAATTAAAATGCATTAAGCCCAAAAATAGTTTTAGTCCGATTTAGCAGACTTTAAGTATACCAGTTTAGTATACCAAAAGTGCAATTGCAGGGTATTTTTTATTAAGCACATAAATATGTAAATGCATTTGTAGAATACTTAGCACAAAATAAATGTATATGTTCTGGATGCTGAACCTCACTGACCACATCTTTGATGCTTTATCTGAAATTAAAGTAATTTATTTGTTTACATTACATGTGGATAAATGACCAACTAGAGCTGCACGCTGGATAAACTGGAGAATCATGATTGTATTTTTAAAATAGATATCACTATTCTCCCACCATGACTCTGGGGGGAAAAAATCAGACAACTAAACAAAATAACATGTAATTTACTAGAGTTTCTAAAAATCGCTGCAGTATATTTATAAATCTAATTTTGAGCGCAAATTGTAATAAAAATACATTAATCCTTGGCATGATGCAGGTCACAAAATTAATGCAGATGGACCGCCTGTTGAGTGCCCCAGCCCTATAGCTACTAACTCTCACAGAACTTTCTGCAAGTCAGTAACTTAGCCTCTGTAATTATAAAATTATATCTGGAAGGTAATTTACTCACACATTCAGTTGTTTGCAAAATCATTTTTATCAGATCAAATCAGTTTCTCAACACAACTTGCTCATCTGCATTAGCAGATTATGCCAAAAGTCCAGTAACTAGCTTGTGCTTGGAGGGATTCAAACTTATCAGGAGTAAAAGATGTGCGACGCCTCCCCCATTTTCTATACCATAACAAAAACAAAACCAATAAATAAATAAGTAAACAAACTAACTAACTCTGAAGGCTGTTCGACCCGAGGCAGTACCCTAAAACATTTTTTTTTCAAACAACACGTAATATTGCTCACTTTCTAGTTAAGCAGTTCTGGGGGCATGTATAGTCTTTTTTGTTATTTATTTGTCTCAAATTTACTCATATTTTTCCCCCCTTTTCCCATACATGGAAGATTTCTGCCACTTAAAACAAACATTTTACATATAAAAATGACATTATTTTACCACTATAAACATGGCTGCATAGGATTACTCATTGGCTTATCAGACATTCCCACTCCCTAATATAGTTCTGTTCACTTGTTTTGCTTTTAGATTTATATTTAGACATTTAAAAATCACTGTTGTAGCAAAAATCACTATTGTAACATTTCAAAGTTCAGCACTGTTTGTTACTGAAGTGTGAAGTAGCAAGGGTTTTTAAAAACTTAAAACTCATTGCATCTACATTAATTACACAAATGATCTATTTTGAATTTGAAACAGCAAAATGTAAATATTTTGCATCCCTTTTAACAATCTCCTTTGTTTCTTTCGAATGTAAATCGAACATTCATTCACAAACATACAACTTTAAAAAAAAAATGTTTTGATAGGTTAAGCTTACCAATCTGTTTTTCACTTGGATTTGCTGTCCTTATTTTATTGCAATATTTTTCCAAATTTCCCTGTTTTTTTTGCACCCATGACTGTGTGTGACAGTAATGTTTAAGGGAGAGCAGTTGTGCTCACTTGCTAATCATTTTTGAACTAATTAAAATTTCTGAACAAAAGTCAAATACAAATCTTTCCTTTCATTATTAACTTTTTTTTTTTAAACAAATAAGCTTTTGATTATTTCAAAATGAATCTTAATGAAGATTTTCACAGAATGATTTGGGGGAAATGGGGCCCTATGCACTGCATATAGTGCATAGAGGTTGTGCCCCTGTGTGTGCCTATCATAAGATAATAAAGGAATACCACATCAAATGTCCAAATATCCATGGTAATACCATGGTGTCAAGTCACACAAATCACGGTACTACACTGTAGTACTTTTTGCCACATCGTATTTTTTTATATTAACTCTCCTAATATTTCTGTTCTAGAGATTATACACTGGTTAAATGTAATTTAAACTCGCAATGTCATAAGTCTGATCTGATTAAATATGGGGGCTGTATTCACAAAACATCTTAAGGTTAAAAGTAGCTTCTAACTTGCCAATTTAGGATAAACTCTTAAAAATAATGTCAGTCCTAATTTTAGGCGTAAGAGTATTTTAAGAGTATTTCGCAAAGTATTTTAGTGCTAAAATCAGATCCTAATCCTGTGAAAAGTTAGGGGTAGTCAAGAGGTCTCCTAAGTCACTAATATAGCTACATGATACCTTGTTTTACAATATTTCTATGATTAAATCAGACAGACATATCCCCTATATCAGTCAATCACTGCGGGCATATTAAGCTTGTTGATATCATCCATGGGTCCAGGTCAACCCCACCCTTTCTCTTAGCTTAAGATTTCTCTCCATTCCTCAGCAGCTTTGTGAACAGGTTTTAGGAGGAAACTCTTACCTAAGAACTTCTATTTATGAGAACTCTTAGGGGCAAGATAAAATGTTTTGTGAATACAGGAGCAGCATAAACACTTAGCATGGAAGTGCATTGTTTCTTCTATTGCCTGATTGCAGAATGATGCTATATTATTAATACGAATATCATTAATATGAATCACTTTTTTAATCCAATGCCTGTAACCTCATAAACTGCATTAACAACTCATGCAGAAACTCAGTCTTACAGTTTATTATACCATTGCATGCATCTCAGATACTAAACCTGTATGCAATCAAATAAAAAAAATAATAAATACTAGAATTGTATGATGTTTACTCCTACGCCTCAATGGGACCAATGACAAGCAATTTTCAGTGAACATTGTATTTATTGTCAGGGTGCACAGTTACATTAAACAAAGCAAAATAAATCAAACCATCCACAAAAGAAAAAAGGCATTCTCGATACAATTCATTGTATATCCAAGCAACAGGTCATAATAAATTATGTTTATGTTCACCAGACACTTAACCAAAAGATTGGATCACAAAGAAATTGGCAATTTCAAGCAATTATATAATGTATCAATGGTTTTTCTGCATGTGGTGCTGGGGATTAAAGTTACTATATGATATAATATTTACTATTCAATACTTGATTACCAAATTAGTGTGTATATACCCCTTTTTATTCTGCACATTTTCACTATCCCTTATTTATCAAATGAATCTAGGTAATACGTTCTATAATTTCCCTCATTGTCAGAAAATTCATCCTGATTTCCATTACACATCCAAATGAACAAATTTAAAAGTACCTCTACACAAAATAACCATATATATATATATATAATAAAAATTAAAATAAAACAGTATAAAATAAAATAAAAAATTACAATTTAGCAAAGAAAAAAAAAACTGTGGGAGCATAACAGCAAAAAGGTTCTCAACCTTATGATTTGTGAGTTACTAACAATAAACTGAAGAACACTGGCACATGGGTTAATGTGGTTCTTGATCTTTGCACATAATGAAATAAGCATTTTCCAAAGTTATTTAGAGAGGAAACCATCATGCACCATGCTGTAGTCGCCAATCTAGCAAAAGCCAAAGTTCAGAAAAAAATTGGAAGCAAGTATAACATGAAAACGCCTGAAACCCACGCATTACATACATTAAACCTTTTAATCTTGTCCCCTTAAAGTCATATGAAGAACAGCTTGTCCATATAGCTTAAGCAAGAATGTTTGCTTAGAAGTTTACAGTACATTGTGATTTGCATTTTAACGATTATGACAGAACAATATAGACAGTAAATTATAGCAGAAGTTCAACACTTCTTGTTTGGCTAGCATACCGAGAAGCATAAAACAACCAGGCAAAGGCATAAATATAAAAGCAGGAAGTGGTAAGGCTTGAAATATGATGACATACAATGATAAATATGTAACAGTACTTTCCCAATAATAACAATAATAATGTGTCACTTTTAAAAACCAGCAACATCAGTGCAGTTCTGGTTTAATACATGTACACTTTGGCAAAGAGGCAAGCACTCAAAAATGCTACTGACACCCATTACCACAAAATCTGGTTTAAAATTAACAAACAAACAACTACATATGCTAATATTTTATTCTATCGTACAGTAGCCGTATTTACACTTTCACAGCTGCCAAAATATGACATTTTACATGTGCTTCTCAGAACGCAAGCACACACACGCTACATACACACATGCAAATGTACATGGCAAAAAAAAAAAGTTGCAATGTCACAAGTGCTTAGGATTTTGTACATGTTCAAGCATAAACTTCTCACCCATTTCCATGGAGCTTTTCAGGGGTCCTTGACATAGTATCACATAAAAGCAGCTTTTTGCGCACAACAGAATTTCTGTGCAATGCTGAATTAAATGCGACCACTTGCGCAAGAACAGACTTAAGCTACACTGAAATTTGCTCATGTTTTATGAATGCCCATTGAGCTCAAATATACATGATATGAGGCCACAGCACCCCTTACTAGTTCCTTTGGTATTAATTTGGGCTGTTTAGAAGTTTGCAACATGGGCAATCATATCTGCAGTCTACAGATGAAGCAAAATACATTCTTATCACTGAAGCTGTGTTTACATGTGAGCATTTTAAATTACAAGGACAATATCTAATTTGGAGTGCGTGGACCTCAAATATTCCTGCTTATATTCACCAACTGCATTCAGTTCTACACTAAACTATTGCTTTACATCCCCCATATGGCGGATGTGTTTTTAGTAACTTTAAGCACTATGCTATAATGCCAAACTCTCAAGCCAGTGTGGAGAAACTATTTACCCTTTACCTCAAATATTCACCAGTGCGGCTTCTCAAGCATATATTATGAAAACACCACTGGGCCTGTGAACATGGCGCCTATTCACCAACTGCATTCAGTTCTACACTAAACTATTGCTTTACATCCCCCATATGGCGGATGTGTTTTTAGTAACTTTAAGCTCTATGCTATAATGCCAAACTCTCAAGCCAGTGTGGAGAAACTATTTACCCTTTACCTCAAATATTCACCAGTGCGGCTTCTCAAGCATATATTATGAAAACACCACTGGGCCTGTGAACATGGCGCTGTCGGACGAGATAGCTGCCAGAAGTGAAAAATAAAACATTTAGGTGCAAAAACAAGTGTGTTTAAATAGGTCAAGTATGTACAATGCAAATAAGAACAAAATAAATGTTCTTAAAAATACTTCTAGGTGTGTGATGGAGAAGGGAGGGAAAATGCTGAAGGACAGAAGCCCTAGACACACACACACACACACACACACACACACAAACACACAAGCACATACACAGTTCAGTCAAGTCACAAACTCTACAATGGAAGCTTCTTCAGCTGCTCAAAGGTGATGAAGAACTGAAACTTAAGTCAAGGATCACAAGAAAATCATAAACTCTGTATACAGTCAACTCATTCATCTAAAAGATGCACAAGTAAACCCACACACAAATATTATGCTTATTATTTTAATGAATAGTTAAAAACAAACACGGTTCAAAAAGATAACCATTTGAATCAGTCTGGCGAATCCTTTAGCGAATAGATCAGATCGATTGAGTCATGATCAGATTCACTTACTGAACTGCACTGCAAGTTTTCATTATTTTCACTGACCACCATATCCAAAGTTTTGTGCGAGTATCATTACTGACTGACTGGCTGCACGACTTCAATAAACACACACATCTGAAGTATAGTTTGTTGGTAATGAATGAATATTCTTATATACAATGTCTTTGCAATGCATTTGGACACTTTCAAACACTTAAAGGGGAATTCACTGCTGGCAAGATATGCTTTTTTATAGCCAACTAACCAACTGTGAACACTGGATAACTTTCCTGTGGTAAATGCAACGTTAAGTGACATACTGATCACAAGCGGTTTTATTTGATGCCTTTCTTTTGATTGAAACGCTGAATAATTACACGAGACATCAAACATTTCGGTAATTTGTCCTGTATCCTTCAACATACCTTCTGACGTTCATTCATGTTTATTTCGTGGTGTGACTTCATAGGGTCAAACAGAGCCTGCTTTAATGTCACTATTTTTAACAGTTGACGCAGTATTATCGGGTGACAGCCCTAAAGTCAACAAGTGATTTTCTTTACACACAGAATGAGTTGCAGTCTGACACGTTTTTTGCCCTCTTTTGACTGATCAGTATGGTTTGTTAGTAGTTTAAGTATTTGCTATTGACTGTTCAAATGCAGAGTTTTGTGCAGCGCAGAGTAACGCGTCGTGTGTGTGTGTGTGTGTGTGAGAGGGGAACAGGGTCACATCACAGGAGAGTGAACTGCCTGTCAGAAATCATAGCACGTCAGCTGTCTTAACTGCGGCTTGTGTACTGCATCATCACTGTGTCTGTCACGCGACTCTGTTGCCCTTTCGGGCTTGAACTGATGGTAAAACTAACGACATTATTAACTGTCTTGATATTTACTTTGAAAGCTTGAAGCTCGTGATTATGGTAAGGGACGTTACATTTCCGACGCGTACTTGTAGTGTTCGGCCAATCACAATGCACTGGATCAGCTGGCCAATCAGAGCAGACTGCGCTTGTCAAAGGAGGGGGCTTTGTTGAAAACGACGTGTTTGAGAGAGGCGGGGCATAGAGGACCTACAATAATGTACAGTATTTGAAAAATAATGTGTTTTTTGAACATTAAAGCATGTCAACATATTCTGTTACACCAAATACACAAAATAATGATCTTTAAAATAGCATCATATGACCCCTTTAAACCATCGGCCAATGGTGAAGTAAAAATACCTTTTATCAGCCGATAACGCTGTTCTCCACTTACATCAAAATCCACCAAAATATTTGTTTAGAACCGTTTTAGACAGGTTTTGCTTGTAAACAGTACTTGATCTGTGCATATTTCTCTCCTGATTCAGACAAGACTCTGGACTATGGACGCATTTCCATGGTTTGAAGTTAAAAACATCTTAATGAATTTGTTTTTTACTTTTCATTTCACAAGATGTTAACTAATGGACTGGAATCGTGTGGATTACTTGTGGAATAAGGTGATGTTTTTATCAGCTCTCAGTTGTTATCAGACGACATTCATTCACTGCAAAGTATCCATTGGTGAGCAAGTGATGTAATGCTAAAATCAGATAAATTTAGCATTACATACCTTGGTGAGTAAATTTTAATTTTTGGGTGAACCATTCTTTTAATGCAAACATACTTACACAGTGCATTCTTTGTGGCCTAGCTGTCCAAACACTTTTTGAGGCCACTCTATATATATATATGTGTGTGTGTGTGTGTGTGTGTGTGTGTGTGTATAAAAACAGCCAACAATCAGAGGCAATTACTGTATGTGCTGTTGATTAAAAGGGGAAAGAAAACTACTAACTTGTGTAGTAAAGAAAAAGTCTCAAAGCTTGGGTGAAAACGCCAGCTAACTTGATGTTGTAATATGCTGACCTCTAGTGGTTTGACTAAGCAAACACTACAAAACCAAGGATCAAAATATGAATATTAAGTCAAAACAATACATTTTATTGCTAAAGGATACAATTATGTTCCAGGGCCCCAGACGCAGCCAGTTGGGCCAGAAGCCTTTATAGAGAGCAAAAAATCCTTCGTTTTTCCAGGTCTGCATGAGTCCGTCCAGGGTGCCCTTGTACAGAGGGTTGCCTGCGAGCACACGCTGATTCATCATACGTGTCCTCACCACATCCACTGGGTTGGAGGCCAAAGCACCTGCCAGACCACACGTGAAACTGGAACTAAATAAACAGAAGAAACAATATGGATCACGTTCCTCATTAAAGTCCAAGTTTGTGCCTCATAAATAAATAAAATTTTGAATTGACACAGCAAGTACTGGTAGAGATACTCACATGAAATGAGTGAACACTGTGTCTCCCATGAGGCCTGAACGAATCAAATGCTTCTTGGTGATGTCATAAACGGGCAGCTCTACACCCACCACGATGGCTGCCCTCTGTGCAGTAGGAATTACACCCTGAAAACAATCAAAACATCACAGTTCAAACAACTGATGGCCACACATTTCTCGCCACCGATGTGAAAGATGAGACAATGAAAGCACTCACCCTCCACAGGCCTCGCGTGCCTTCTGTCTGGTAAATGTTGATGAAATTAGACATCATGCTTCCCTGTAACAGGCTGCCTTGAGCCTGCATGCGAATCTGAAAAAGCAGAGGGAAATAATAGGATAAAACATAAGATAAAAAAAACTCAGTGTGATCGGTGTTGTAAAATCTAAAAGTGAGGCTAAAGATAAGGCCAAAAACATTTTTAATACAAGTACGCACACAGAGCCACGAGCATGCATACTTAAAGGCACAATATGTACGATTTTTTTATTAAAATATCCAAAAACCAATAGAGCAGTGTTATATATTTTGCTGACTTGTGTACTTGCATTATCCAAAATGTTTCGAAGAATGTTTAAATCCAGAGAAATAAGCAATTTTAACTAGTGACACGGACCGTGTCTATAGTGTTATTGTGTCGCCTGCCAATGACGTCATAACCCCTCGATTTCCGGTTTTGTTTTGTAGAAAATATGGAAACACCAAAGACGCTTTAATATGTTGTGCGTTTTATTAGACCGGTGACGACCGCACAGAGTAGCATAATAACAGAACTTTCAAATGTATCTAGTATGATAAAACAGCGCTGCTTTACCCCCCATACACACGACCGGAAGAAGCGGAAGCGGTCGACTGTGGCATAATAAAAGCTCCGCTGCCGTGTGTCGCGCTCATTCAGCTGCCTCGTTTCACTTCGAAGGCTTTCAGACTCACCCTGCTTCATTCTACTACATTAATAAATCATTAGCTCATCCATGAACATGATTTCTGCCCGAGTCCCATCGGATTGCATCGGCTGTGGGGATGAAGACAAATCCCATGATTCCACACTCAGTGCCTCTTTATTTATTTTGAATACGCGCCCTCTAGCGGCAAAAATTACATATTGTGCCTTTAAGCTTGCTCATTAACTTCTTACTATCCTTAAAGCATTTTTCATGCAAATGGCCAAATGCTGTGGCTGAGTTTGTGTACTTGCATAAAGTATGTTTATGTCTAAATGAAAAAACACCAAATTTGTCTGAATATATGGACAAAACTTCATATAAAGTACCAGACTATACATTGGTCAATTCTGCGGTGTACTGTGCCAGTTGTACAGGTGCATCTCAATAAATTAGAATGTCATGGAAAAGTTCATTTATTTCAGTAATTCAACTCAAATTGTGAAACTCGTGTATTAAATAAATTCAATGCACACAGACTGAAGTAGTTTAAGTCTTTGGTTCTTTTAATTGTGATGATTTTGGCTCACATTTAACAAAAACCCACCAATTCACTATCTCAACAAATGATGTGAAAGTAAGGACTGGCTAATTCCAGCATGAAGGGCATTACAGTAATGTAGCTTGATTAAAATGAATGCATGAATGACAGTCTCCAAATAATTAAAAGTAAGCAATTTTTCAGCTTGCAAAGTTACTTAAACTGCAGAGAGCTGGCTCTCACTACAGAATTGACTTGTCAAATTTTAATTCAAAATCAAAAATAACTCTGAGGTTATTTTATGTAAGAATTATCTTAACCATGAGTCACCCTGCTTTCTAGATAATTACGCAACTGCTAAAACCTAATGGATATGTAATGTAAATAACCTAAAAACATTAATATAAGTACATTTAAGTACCATGCACAGTTATATTACAACTTTGGGATTTTTTATACCAACATTTGTATTGATTGGTTTTAAAGGAGATGTTGATTTGATTTTACTTACCTTAAGCACATCAGTTGGATTTGCCAAAGAGGACGACAAAACTCCAGACACCACACCACAAAACACATTAATCACCATAGTCTCATCTGAAGAAAAAAAAAAAGATAAGAGCAGCCATTAGATTCAAAATGTCCTTCCATAAAAGCCACAGAACAAAAACAGTTTAACAATTCAATAATAAATCAGTAATATTACAGAGAGCAAAGCAGGAAAAAGATAGACAAGCAATAATCAAATTCCTAATTCAAAAATCACCCAAAAAGCCCTATTTTTGTAAAAGCTCTTCAAGTAAGGTCTTATTCCACTATTTTAAGATGTGGCACCCAGCCTTTACTGAGCAAGAAGGCACACAAAAGAGAGATGAATGAATGAGATCAGAGTTTAGTGTGATGACAAAATGCTGATCAAATTTCGATCAATAGTTAAACTAATTCCTTAAATTAATGTGACCAACAGTCAGAACAGCCATTCAGTTTGGCAGCAGAACAGGCATTAGTACCCCCACACTAACAGGCAAAGCTACGCCTATATCAAAATAAGCATTTGACACAAAGTGGCAACATCCTTGGAAAAGCATGCAGAGTGAAAGCAACAGAAATTGGCCAAAAGAGCCTAAATACAGCCTGTTCATTCAATACAATAAAAAGCTACTGTTGGCCTAGCTGTGGCCATTCTACTGTTTGCAGAGAAGAGAAGATTTTGTACCATTTCAGATGGAAATCCGCTGGCGCCAGCACCAGATAAGGTAATGCTAGAGATGTGTCTGTCTGCCGCTTCAGCACCTTTTGTTTGGACCGCACATTAGTGATGGTGGTTACACCTTGTTTTGTAGTTCAGTATTGGTAGAGCTGGGGGTTTGTGGCGTAATGGTGGAAAATTGAGCTAAATGCTACATTTAAGTCTAAAAAACAAACAAAAAAACTATGCTTATGTAAATCCCACTGTGTATTACACCATTCACTTAGTCAAAAGCCACCAGCTAAAGCAACAGTCACAGGTATTTAAATGCTTAGCTTTATGATCATTAAGTTCTGGTGATTATATTTTGTGGGCAAAACATATAAATGCAATACAATGTTGATTGTGAGAAGTACAAATAATTATTTCTCAAAAGCCTGATGTGTTTGACTATACATACATCATTTTTTAGAAGAATCAATCAAACTTAATTGCTTCAGTTGAGTAAATGTTCATCTTGAAATATCACTAACACAATAAGTTATTTTTACATTTAAATGATTGAAATCAGTAAAGATTTCACAGCAAAAAGACGTGTACCTGAGGGATGTTTATAGAATTACACTCAAATGATTTTCAGCAACAACAAAAAATACATGACCAGTAAGACAACAGAAGGCATGTAGTAAATATGTATACAGCAGGTTTTCAGCAAAGTCTTGATCATGTTAATTTAGAGGCTTTAGAAATTTGCATATTAAATATGATGCGCTACTTTTACAATCTCTTTATGAAAGTTTTGAAGCTGAATGGATTTTCAGTCGAGGGTCAGAGATCTCTAAGGTTTCATTAAGAATATCTTAATTTGTGTTTCAAAGATGAACAAGAGTGTTATGGATTGAAACATTTTTGAATGGACATTTAAATAAATCAAAAACCATACAGCTCAACAATTTAGTCGGATTTCTAAACAAATGGCTCGGACGTGGCAGTTCATTTTAGCATCAAAACACTTGTTAAAAAAAAAAAAAAAAACATATAAATCAGTCAGTACAAGTCATTGCTTTCACCATGTCAGATTCTATTGATTATTAAATATATAAAGTCTGTCTGTCTGTAGAACCTACAAAAATGCATGCATTTCCGATTTGTAAAAAATCTGCATCAGAAAATCTGAAATGTATCTATCACTTTGTGAAAAATGTTTCTCAATTGAGGGAATAGTTAAGAATCCAGAATAATATGAGAAACCTAATGAAAATCATTACATTATTACATGAATTTATCGCATTTGTAGCCCTAATCACTATTCAACTTGGCAAGTTATTTGTGCAGTAAACTGAGAAACAGAAAAAAAATTAAATGCCCATAAAATAAATTTATGTGGAGTAGAAACTTGATCCAAAAAATGTCACTGTGGGCAGGACTACTCATCACAACGGCACAGAAATAAAAACCAACATTGTGACACTCAGTGTGATCACAGCTGGTTAGGACAAACTCAGATTAGCACATAAGAGACAGCATTTATTGTTCTCTTGACAGTTACGGCACAGTTAGGTAGCTAATTAAAATGCATTCTTATTCATTGATCTGAATGAATCATTCAGATCAATGCTGATCTGAAATGCGTTCATAGGCAACTCTTAACAATTACTTACGCATATCTACACAAACACTACTCATGGCAACTAAATGAATGCTGGACCAATGCTCAGCATTGATTTCGGTAGAGTCTGTTAAAGTGCACCTATTATAGGTTAATGAAAGGTTCATATTTTGGTTTTGGGAGTCCCCAACAACAGGTTGACATGCATGCAAGGTCAAAAAACATTTTCATTGTCTTATAATATGCATTTTTTTTTTACCTTATTTGCTCAATGATTACTAAACGATTCGTATAACGATAAATTTTTCCTACCCCCTCCTTTGCGTGATGCTAATCTGCGGTGATTGGTCCAATTGGTCTCATTCTCATTTCATCATGCCTGTAATCCCTGATAAAGCAGCGTTTGTGAACACAGTGCTGCTTTGTGTGTACAGTGTTACCGGGGAAACCACTATTTTTACCGCTCCAAAAGCGGCAGCTAGTGGCACAGAATGAATTTGCATTTTCATTCAGACCAACGCGAAAAGACCAACAAGTGGGCGAGCAATATGCTAATGTTTCATGTTGACTCAACATGAAACGGCTTGGGATTTGTTTTAATAACGACTCGTTTCAATGATTCAGAATCGACCCTTTCTTTTGAGAGACAATAACTTTATACACGGTGCACTTTCAGATTTAAAACTTTGCAGGATGTTTTCATTCACTTAGAGCTGTGTTACACACTGCATGAAAGGTAATCATAATATCCATAATAGGGGCACTTTAACAGTATTGCTACTCTAATCTAATCTATGCATGCTAATAAAAAATGTGCTCTCTTTTGACATACTTTTTGCCTCTTTGGGCAACTCATTAGATATTGGAATAAAGCAATTGTGACCGGATGTGTGCAACATGTTAACATCGTGCTGTCTGACATGTTAGTGACTAGTCTGTATCACTCAACACATTAAGGCATAGATAATTCTCTGGAGACAATTCACTCCTTATCTCATAGAGCTTCCGTATACAGTCATAAAGAAGGTTATCAATTAAGAAAATATACATCGTTTTTTTTACAGTTTAGACAATTTAGCGAAAAGTCACGTCAGCGACGTCTTGATGCCATTGTTTGCAAAATCCAAACAAACTGTTCAAATTTCAGGACTGCTACCCCTACAAAACTGGTTGAGTGAGTCAAAAAATGATTTCAACACCATGACTTTGATGAGAGTTAGAGTTAGTGACATCACTGAAGAAATCAAGTGGCAACCATGATGTTCTATTCTCATAATGCAATGTTGTATGGAAAAGATCTTGTACAACATGAACAGTATCAAGGGATTCATCCCATAAACCCACCTTCTGGATGACTAACAAACAGTTTCTTCAGTGTGTTGTATGTACCGATCTTGATTGTCCCATAGGAAGCTTGTCGGAGGAGTGCAGGTGAAATTCTGTGAATAAAAAGCACACAACTTCAAGGTCAATGCTTTATTTCCATACTGGGGTTAATGAAAATCTAAATAGATTAGTGTTTAAATGACAGTCTAAAATACATCACAAGACCATGCAATGACTCACAAGCACTGTTAGTTGAATGATTGGCCATTGCAAAGACAAAGACAAAAACATGCAAAGCATATATGCAAACTTTTGTGCAAAGAGGTTCAACAGAAGTAGGACATTTTACCATAGTTGATTTCATAAGAAAAACAGGATTTTGTTTTTAAAGGAAATATATTTCCATAATTGAGATTTAAACAAATATTCTTCATATTCAATAACTTGATAACAGGAATACAGTCACAAAGATACAGCGCTTTAAAAAAAGGACAAGATTTTTCTTACATTTAGAACTAGATTTTGTTTTTTCTGAAAAAAGATGGCATCCACGACCCACCCATGCAAAATTCTGCCACAATGCCAAAGTGTTGTGATCAGTGGTGAATGACGTACACCAGCGATCTCCAACCATGCTCATGGAGAGCTACCATCCTGCAAACTTCAGTTCCAATTCTGCTCCAGCACACCTGCCTGTAATAATCAAGTAACCCTGAAGACCAAATAATACTGAACCTGGAAGTAACCCTGGAGACGTTGCTCTAACCCAGGGGTGCCCAACCTCGGTCCTGGAGGGCCGGTGTCCTGCAGAGTTTAGCTCCAACTTGCCTCAACACACCTGTCTTCAAGTTTCTAGTATGCCTAGTAAGAGCTTGATTAGCTGGTTCAGGTGTGTTTAATTGGGGTTGGAGCTAAACTCTTCAGGGCCCTCCAGGACCGAGTTTGGGCACCCCTGCTCTAACCCAATCATTGAATCAGTGGGTTTTTGACTCAGGAACAGTTGAGACTGGATGAGTCTAATTCACAAAAGAATCATCCTGTGAGATTTGCAAGCCCATTCAACAGGTTCATTGAAAAGACTCATTCATGAATCAGATTATTGCAAGACAAGTGAAAAAAGTAGTGCTGTCAAACGATTAATCGCGATTAATCGCATCCAAAATAAAAGTTTTTGTTTACATAATATATGCGTGTGTACTGTGTATATTTATTATGTATATATATAAATACACACACATACAGTATATATTTTGAAAATATTTTCATGTATATATTTATATTACAGATAAATATATTTAACATATAAACAACATATTTTCCTTAAATATATACATGTATGTGTAGGGCTACACGATTATGACAAAGATCATAATTGGCGATTATTCCCTTGAAATTGTAATTGCGATTATTAATTACGATGATCACAATTTACACTGAATGATGTTTATACCATTGTTTGAAGCAACTGCATGCCATATTTTTATATGAAAATAAATAAGCTGAAAACACTCAAACTGAAAAACTTATTGCTTTTCTATAGCATTAAGGCTCAAATGTCAAATGTACATTGGATTGGTTTCTTCTTTAAATAATAATAAAAAAGTAAAAATATGCATGGTATTATAATGTTATACTAACATTAAATTAAAACAATGGAAAAACCCTTAAGATGACCTGTAGAAATAAAAAAACACATCTTAAGCACTCAGAATAACATAAGTGGACTTTGATCGATTAATTGCCGCTTTGAACGATTACGTAAACTAACTAACTTACGTACGTTTAAATGCCAACAAAATTTCTATTAATAATAATGAATGCATAGACCTAAAAGTGTTTTAAAAGAAAATTATAGGAAATGACAGAAACTGTAAGCTTCTGGCCAGAAAAAAAAGAAAAAGAAAAACAGCACATTAATATGAGAGATGATGGTTTGAAAAACAAAATGCTCAGTGACACATAGACAACACGACTAAGCTAAACTCGAACGACTGCAGTCTGCTCATGCCAAAGCAGTGGGCCAGTTTCACTTGACTCAGCTCCTCTACAGACCCGTGCAGATCATGTGAATTAAATATCTATATTTAGAGTTTATTACAGCTATCAGCTGTATTTAAAGGGGTCATATGATGCAATTTCAAGTTTTCCTTTCTCTTTGGAGTGTTACAAGCTGATTGTGCATAGATAAGATCCCTGAAGTTACAAAGACTAAAGTCTCAAAACCAAAGAGATATTCTTTATCAAAGTTAAGACTCTGCCACACCCCCCTAAAACGGCTCATTCTAACACGCCCCCACATATCTACCTCACTGTGGAAATAGTAGCATAATGCGGCCCAAATGTGCGCGCAAAGAAAGAAGGCGTGGCTTCAGTAACCGCATGATTGAACTGATGGTAAAACTAATGACATTATGTACTGTCTTTACATTTATTTTGAAAGATGAAGCTCGCGATTATGGTAAGGGGCGTTACATTTCCGACGAGTGCTTGCGGTGTTCGGCCAATCACAATGCACTGGGTCAGCTGGCCAATCAGAGCAGACTGCGCTTGTCGGAAGGAGGGACTTTGTAGAAAACGAAGCGTTTGAGAGAGGCGGGGCATAGAGGACCTACAATAATGTAAAGTATTTGAAAAATAATGTGTTTTTTGAACATTAAAGCATGTCAACATATTCTGTTACACCAAATACACAAAATAATGATCTTTAAAAAAAGCATCATATGACCTCTTTAAACCACTGCATGGGTTGCAAATATGCCTTTAAAAGGGAACACAAATGCTCCACCACAAATTAAGCATTTGCTGTCACTCAGAATATTCAAATAATCTGCACTCACCCAGAGTACAATGCCCGGATGCCTTCTTCACGACCAATCCTGATCAAAGCGTGGAACATGCCCCGATATCGGACCTCCATACAGTGCGTCTGCCCTTGAACCTGGAGCCGTGTTTTTGTGAGATCAATGGGAAACGTACCTGCAAGATTTAATTATCAAATGATCAATGGGTGATTTAATAATCTAATCTATAAATACTTTATGCATACTAGTACTTTATCTATTATCAGCTTCAGTTGTGAATGTCTATTGTCTCTCTTATCTTTCATCTAATGTCCCACCCCAGACTCTTTCAGTTTTATTGTACACCAGGGCTGCACAAACTCGGTCCTGGAGGGCCGGTGTCCTGAAGAGTTTAGCTCCAACCCCAATTAAACACCCCTGAACCAGCTAATCAAGCTCTTACTGGGCATACTAGAAACTTAAAGGCAGGTGTGTTGAGGCAAGTTGGAGCTAAACTCTGCAGGACACCGGCCCTCCAGGACCGAGTTTGGGCAGCCCTGTTGTACACTGTGGTGGGGAAATGAAAGTGCCCTTGCATTAACAATCAAGGCTCATTTCACAGTCCCTTCAACGTGGCAAAAAAAGTAATTGTGCTTCTAAAGAAAGTACTGTAAAATCTATATGACAGTATATTTCAATACTGCAACTAATAGTAATAACAATGACTTAAATAATAATTAATGTTAATAATAAAAATATACTTGTAATGCATATATTTTATTGTTCTTCTCGCCTAATAATTATTTACATTTAAGTGTGTCAAAAAGTAGAAACACGTTTCAATATATCAGTTATTGGACATGTAAGCAAAACAAAAATGATCTATATTCTCTCTCAAATATTAGTATGCATTATGGCACTCCATTTGAGATCTTAACATGTGTTAGGACCTGCTCTATGCAACCATTAATGACTAAAGAGATCTGTAATAGATGATGATGATGATGATGATGTAAAAACAGCAGGTGCACAGACTCACCGAATTCTGCGACAATTGAGGCCATTCCCCCATAGACAAAAGGCTTCCAGTTCAGGTTTGATGCTCTATGCAACCATTAATGACTAAAGAGATCTGTAATAGATGATGATGATGATGATGTAAAAACAGCAGGTGCACAGACTCACCGAATTCTGCGACAATTGAGGCCATTCCCCCATAGACAAAAGGCTTCCAGTTCAGGTTTGCCATTTCTGTTGCGGCCCCTTCGGCTTGATGGAGTCCTACTAAAATCAGCAGAAAGCCAAAATAGGAGCAAATCAGCTGTTTTAATCTCACATTGTACAACATAGCGCTACCCGTCTGTGTCACAGCCAGTCTTGTCAGACGCATAGACAAATGTGCACCGGAATAAGACGAACCGCATTAAAGATTCATTGCAAGCGCCATAGGAGATTTGCGGAAATCCTATTGGTTGTACACGCTGTCAATCATTTTGTCGGCGATGCCGATTAGTCGAAATGATCTGATGCTCCACCTACTTCCGCCGTCAAGGAGGTTGAGTGACAGCAAGTAGCGGCTCGCCTATTTTGATCAAACCGTGTAACACGTAACTTTTAAGGTTACCGTTTAAAATTAAAAAGAGTGGCGTATAGCCACCAAACGCACGAATATAATATATACGATGTGTCTGTGTTGTAGCATGAAATATCGCTGTACTTGGTTCCGTATCCGACATCTAACGTTAACGGCTTGCAACTCTTCTCACCATTATAAAGTACAAAACGGAGTAATCACGACGTTCTAGTCAATATCGCCTCATGAGCTCACATACCTGAGGGCTTGGTGCTTCAGTCACCTCTGTTATTTTATTTTGGACTCCATCGTCTCGACAACATGTAGGATTACAGTAGTTTTCGCAGTCAAACTCCAGGAGCGCACATACGGCATTCAGTTCCCCATCATGTGTCTCTAGCAGGAACGCAATTCACCGCGACCGGAAGTTCCCGCCCGGAAGTTTGAAAGCGTCTAGACTCCACCCCCTCCCCTTTTCAATGTCACCCTGCCTCTCAAGGGGAAGCAATCAGTGAGGTTTGATTTACATTTCCCCCTTTTTTTTAAAGAAAATAAATTATCACATGTAATTCCCCATATGAACTCACTATAATAGGTTATGTTTTCATTTATGCAGTAAAATTACAAAAATAAAATATGTTTTGTGAAAAACTACAGTTTAAATTCTTACAGTAGGCCTTGTAAATATGAGCGTTTTATTTAAAGGGGTCATATGATGCGATTTCAAGTTTTCCTTTCTCTTTGGAGTGTTACAAGCTGATTGTGCATAGATAAGATCCCTGAAGTTGCAAAGACTAAAGTCTCAAAACCAAAGAGATATTCTTTATCAAAGTTAAGACTCTGCCACGCCCCCCTAAAACGGCTCGTTCTAACACGCCCCCACATATCTACCTCAATATGTGGAAATATTTGCATAATGTACCCAAATGTTCACGCAAAGAAAGAAGGCGTGGTTTCAGTAACTGCAGTTAGTGTTGAAGCAGCATGTCAGAGAGACGCTGTGTGTTTCTAGGCGAAAGCAAAAGCACTTTATTTGGCCTTCCGAAAGTAGATGCATTTAGGAATCTTTAAGATTACTTACAACAGAACAGCAATACATTTTATGGACGACCGTTTCGTGAACCTAGGAGAGGAGGTCATTCTGACTTTGCTATGACAATCTGGCGCTTCTGAATCAGCTACTGTTTTGTTATTAGTTTAAGTATTTGCTATTGACTGTTCTAACGCGGAGTTTTGCGCATCATGTGTGCGTGTGTGCGAGAGAGAGCGCGAGAGAGAGAGAGAGGGGGGGGGTCACATCACAGTGGAGTCAGTTTGACTTCTTCTGAAACTCAAAATAAGAAGTGTTTTTGTCTAAACAGCTAGAAAACGTTCTTGAAAACTCATTTGTAATTCTCATTTGTAAGTCGCTTTGGAAAAAAGTATCAGCTAAATGAATAAATGTACATGTTCAAAATAACTTCCTGTATGTTCTATCACATTAATTGATTAACAATTAAGATTAGATGCTTTAATCGTTTCTGTGCCCATTATGGTTTTCTATAAATGCCTTTCATGATCAAATCTGAGACATCATGACCTTGCGTACACCCCTTATACAAACAAGAGGATCCGATATCCTGGCAAAAATTCAGGAACATATGGGATCGATATGGTAGCTGGTACAATATATTGGAATTTAGTATTAAATAATGTGTCAAACAATCAAAAAATATAATATATAATTCCCAAATGTCCCCTGAACCCTACAGACTAACTTAACAAATACATAAAAATACACTGAAGTACACTAACTACTTGAGTTGAATCTTGTATAATAAGTAGCTTATTTTTAAAAAGTAGAAAATTTTGAACTTATTTTGATGTGTTAAAAAATGTAAAAACATTACTTTTTTTTTATAGTGTAACCAAAAACTCACCGGCCACCATTTGACGCGCAGTTGTTTCTGTCCGGGTGAAGGCAGAAGAGTGATGCCAAACAGTACGCACAGCACAGCAACATAGAAAGCAGTCTTCGCTTTAAAGACATCTTCTGCCCAGTGCTCTAAACAACCTGAACAATCTTTAGTATTCCTTTCAAAGAGCCCAAGATGTTCCTTATTTAGGAAGCTCAAGGTAAAGACGGGCTGTGATGTGTAGTTTAGGGGTGGGAAAAGTTCGGCACAAACCCCATCCAAGAGCTTTCTGTGGGCAGAGTGTAGCAGTGGGCACAACAACTGCTGACCAAAATCTACTTTCAATAGCAGTGAACAGTCTAGTAGGGATGAATAACATTCCCACATTGTTGACCAGTGAGAGTCTGGCTTTATTGTGTAGCACTGTCAGATCTTTCCTCGGTATGGACGACTATGTGCAGATTGTTAAAAACCAGTTGTGTGGTTATAAGTCCATTGTACTTGAGGGCTTTGACTCATTCCCATGACTCCTGAGAGAAATTGAAGAGGTTGCTGCATTAACTGATTTGTCTTGGTCCCAAATTATATCAGTATCTGTGCACTGACCCTGACTCCAATGATAAAATGTAAAAGGGTTTGGATATGGTAAGCATTTATTCACCCGTGAGCGCTTCTGTTTATTTAGAGTTTGTTCACTCATGAGTAATCACAGTCATGCTGTTAGTGTCCACCCACCTCCCAGCCCTCTCTCCAAACCCAACCCTCTTTTGACGTCCATCAGTTTCCTTTCCCCCTTTTAGGTTGTCCAAAGTTAGTAGACTGATTCCATGCTGGTAGAGAAACATCTCAGATTTGCGGCCAACAAAACGGACACTGGCACATAACCCCATTTTAAATGGATTTAGGAAGGCTGTGATGTGTAGTTTAGGGGTGGGAAAAGTTCGGCACAAACCCCATCCAAGAGCTTTCTGTGGGCAGAGTGTAGCAGTGGGCACAACAACTGCTGACCAAAATCTACTTTCAATAGCAGTGAACAGTCTAGTAGGGATGAATAACATTCCCACATTGTTGACCAGTGAGAGTCTGGCTTTATTGTGTAGCACTGTCAGATCTTTCCTCGGTATGGACGACTATGTGCAGATTGTTAAAAACCAGTTGTGTGGTTATAAGTCCATTGTACTTGAGGGCTTTGACTCATTCCCATGACTCCTGAGAGAAATTGAAGAGGTTGCTGCATTAACTGATTTGTCTTGGTCCCAAATTATATCAGTATCTGTGCACTGACCCTGACTCCAATGATAAAATGTAAAAGGGTTTGGATATGGTAAGCATTTATTCACCCGTGAGCGCTTCTGTTTATTTAGAGTTTGTTCACTCATGAGTAATCACAGTCATGCTGTTAGTGTCCACCCACCTCCCAGCCCTCTCTCCAAACCCAACCCTCTTTTGACGTCCATCAGTTTCCTTTCCCCCTTTTAGGTTGTCCAAAGTTAGTAGACTGATTCCATGCTGGTAGAGAAACATCTCAGATTTGCGGCCAACAAAACGGACACTGGCACATAACCCCATTTTAAATGGAAGAAATGATCTTTTGCCTTCATCCTAAAGCCAACCGAATCTGAAAGATGCACTGAGAGATGCAAGAATGACTCCTCACGTGGAATCCTTCTTCTGGACATCTTTTCCACAATTGGAATATGTTCTCTGTTGAATTTATTGAACTCTTTCACTGTGATGAGATTGGATTTCACGAGAAAGGAGTTCATCGACTCATCACTTTTTCAGGCAAGGAACTTGTCTTAAACTTCTAAGAATATTTCTTTATGAAAAGTCAAGGATAAAGATTTCATCAATAGATCAACGTTTTCTTGCACCTAGGTTGTAATTTCAAAATAATCGCAATTTCATGGCTATTGCCGCTTCCAGTAGGAAGTATGCTCTGATGGGACCTGGATGATAGCCAAACAGAACAAGGGGCGCACAAACGAAACCACAGGAGCAGAAGAAGGAAGATGTTTTGTTTCATGGGAGAAAAGTAAATTTACATCTTAGTGTCCATTTCTTCCTCTTGAAACTGTTTAAACTATTAAAATTCTTATCAACTTTGAAAAAAATTGATGCAACGATGATCGCTTTCAATGTGACTAAGGAGACATCCTTGGAAACTATAAGGGAGAACTACGTAGTGACAGCACCCAGTCCAGAGCTCACAACCCCCGCTGTGATAGAAAGAGAAGTCGTGGCCATGGGCTATATTCTTAGTGCGGGATCCATTTTGATCATCTCCACCAACCTTTTAGTCGTTATTGCCCTGGTCCTCCTCATCCGTAAGAGGGGCTGCCAGAGCTGGTGTTTTGTCTTAAACCTATCCATAGCGGACATCCTGGTTGGCGTAGCTATCACTGGCATTGCCACTGATGCTCTCGAAGGAACGACGGCCTCCATGGAGAAGGGCATTTGTTTGTTGCGCATGACCTTTATCATGGCACCCTCTGCAGCCTCCATCTTAACCATGTTCTTGATCTCACTGGACCGCTACGTAGCTATAAAGTTGCCACTGCGCTATTCGAAGTTAATGAACGGTAAGATGATTGCTGGGGCTCTGGTTCCCGTCTGGCTCATCTCAATAACTATGGGATTTTCACCCAGCATTTTGAAACCGTTGCAGAAGGAAGGCTATCACAAAGTCTGCACGTTCTTCTCCGTCATAGAGCCAAAGAGCATCATTGTGGTCTTGTGCCTTTTTTTCTTTCCATTACTCTCAGTCTTCATCTATTTTTACATGGACATCCTGAAAATTGCCTGTGGCCATCAGAAGCGCATCCATGCCCAGCAAGCAGGTTCACGCTTTCTGACGTCTAGCCGTTACTGGGGTCACGTAAAAGCCCTGCGGACTGTTGCCGTGCTGATTGGTTGCTTCACGCTCTGCTGGTGCCCCTTTTTTGTGGTCAGTATTGTGCAGGCATTATGTCCAACCTGTGAACTTTATGACTTTTTGGAGAACCATCTCTGGCTGCTGGGGCTCTCAAACTCCCTAATAAATCCTCTTGTTTATGCTTGCTGGCAGCGGGAGGTGAGAAGCCAGATCTGTGAGATCTTCGCTCATATTAAAGTCGGGTTGTGTTGTGTGACACACTCTGAGACGGCAGAAAGATGCCCCACAGACCACCCGACTGTCAATCAGGCTGTAAGGTTTCATGACAAGATGCTAGCCACCCCATTCAATTACAATAGGCCTGTCACAATTCCTGAACAACATCCAGAAAATATTTCCAATAGATAGGATATTCTTTTAGTCCACTGACCATGAAACTGTAAAAGGTTTAGAAAAATGCTACATCCCTTAATGGATGTGGAGCCCAGAGTATCAGACGCCGCTTTATTTAAACCAATATGTTCAAAATATAACCAAATCACTTATTTCCCATTTCCACTTACTTTTTTCCAGTTGTAAAATATATGACTGTAATAAATTAAATACTATTTGTGTTGTATCTTTGTAGAGGGTTTCTCATCATTACGGTCATCTTGCCCACTGATGGTTGTATGACCCTCGGTGGTTATGAGTCTTTTCAATAAGATGTCTGTTGATAGGGCAATGTTCTCTGTAAAATGGTTTTGTGCAATATTCATTGTGAACAGCACTATATAAAAAAATTGTAACAATTCGATTGAAAATGTTTCTCTTATATTGCTGGTAGAAAAAATATATATTTTAGACTTATATGAAGTACATATTACACAATATGCGTTGGCTTTTATATATAAATTATAAATAATTCTATAGAACTAACAAAGTACAATTAGTAAAATAAAATTATTTAATATTGACCTAACCATTAATATCACATTTACATAAAAAGTATATACTGTAGCTATTTGTAGTCCCCTATAAAAGGACATTCTCCAGTATATTCTGATTCAAAGAAGCAACCACTTGAAAAGGTAATTTAGAAAGGTATTAAAAGCAATGTCTGCCGCCCACATGTGGTTCTGAGAAGAATCCCAACCACTTCCTTTCAGCCACTTCTTCAGGTAAATTATTAAATAATCTAATGGTCAATGAAAATAAAAAACAGGTGCAGCACATTACATGATGTTAAAATCTCATTACATAAGTGCTGTGTAAAATGTTAAAACTAAATTTCGATATTGTATACTGTATACTATTACTGCTAATGCTAATATTAATATACATTTTGAACCACACAAAGATTAATAGCCTAAGCTTAAAGAACTTAAAATATATAAGAAAAATGTTATCAATATCTATCTGTCTGTCTGTCTGTCTGTCTGTCTATTTATCTATCTATCTATCTATCTATCTATCTATCTATCTATCTATCTATCTATCTATCTATCTATCTATCTATCTATCTATCTATATATAGGCTAGTTTAAACGTTTAATGACATCTCCTGCTTTCAGCTCTGTATGGGTTTCAGAATGTGACACTGGACTATATAAAGCATGAAATTCACCTGCTGTTATCAACAGTGTTTACATTGTGTAGCCTATTCAGTTGTTGATAGAGTTTTATCGTGTTGATCATGAGACAACAATGGTCTCGTAGAGAGAAAAGAGTGAGGAGAGGAGTGTGTACACGGGGCCAATCACACCCACCGACCTCAAGGAGGTTTTGGAGGTTTGGCTCTTTTCTATCTATCTATCTATCTATCTATCTATCTATCTATCTATCTATCTATATATAGGCTAGTTTAAACGTTTAATGACATCTCCTGCTTTCAGCTCTGTATGGGTTTCAGAATGTGACACTGGACTATATAAAGCATGAAATTCACCTGCTGTTATCAACAGTGTTTACATTGTGTAGCCTATTCAGTTGTTGATAGAGTTTTATCGTGTTGATCATGAGACAACAATGGTCTCGTAGAGAGAAAAGAGTGAGGAGAGGAGTGTGTACACGGGGCCAATCACACCCACCGACCTCAAGGAGGTTTTGGAGGTTTGGCTCTTTTTTATTTTGTTTGTCCCACAACAAATCCACCAAAGCTCAGGATGGGAATGTGGAGCGAGAAAAAAAAGCCAATCATAATAGTGTTTTCATAGACTAAATTAAATGAGGTCAGAGTAAAGTGACAAAACATGCAGTGGTAAAACAAACTTCCATCCTCCAGGACAGCAAGGTACTGCCCTCCTGAGTACTTTGAGAAGAGTGAGAACTAGGGCTGGGTATCGATTCAGATGTCCAGATTCGATTCGCAAGCTCTCGATTCGATTCCTGGTTCGATTCTCGAGTTTTTGATTACATTCAGTGAATATAGTTTTAATACAAATGCTATTGATATTTAAAAAAAATGAACAGTAAACATCAGTTTACAAACGGTGAATTAATAAAAAGAAATTAACAGCCACAGGCCTGTATTTTAAACCTTTTTTTTTTTTGTATAGGGTCCTTTTTTAAACAATAATAGGGCCTAATAAAATGTTCTTCTTAATTTTTCTGGTAATCAGATGAAGGCATGAAACAATCATTTAATTTATCCTAATCAAATGAAAATTAAACCCTTTTATTTTTTGGCAAAGTGCTGCACAACAGAGGTTTACTGTTTTAAAAATGCACTGGAATGCACTTTTAAAACACTGGAACACATTTTTATCACTCGCCATGGTGGCAACTCTTAGACAGTTTGTAGCTTTCAGCGGCAATGTGGATTGATCTAATTGGCAGATGTGGTGCGCTGCAAATTCAATCGCAACCCAATCAAAAGGACCAGAATAGCATCGCTTTACTAAATCGCCTTTAAATGGCAGGAGGCATCGTGCACATCAAAAACAGGCAAAGCAACAAATTAATATTATTCAACATCTCCTAGCTTTTTCAGAAAATATTCAGATTTAGTGCCCTTTGTAATCACTAACACTTTCATAAATAACTGTAATTTAATTACACTTTTTTTTTTTCTCAGTAACTGTAATAGATTACAGTTACATTTATTTTGTAATTAAATTACAAAATCCCATTTGACTAGTTACTCCCCAACACTGGGAGAGTCAGCCTTGCGACTGGTAGGCTGATACTGTAGGGGTGGCCCTTCCATCCCTCCAGCCGTAGTGTCTTGCGGGGCTGGCATGCCTTGGTTTCATCTTTGCCTTGGCTTGATGCAATTGTTTTGGTGTCTTGCAGGACTGCTTGCCTAGGAGTATATATTATAGTTAGTTTAGTTATAGTTAGTTAAGTTTTAGTTTAAGTTCTGCAGCACGCAAACATGTTTAAATAATGGAGTCACCCAGAGCTTCCCAAAAGTCCCTGCCACAGTGTTCCTGCCACTGGTGTCCGGGTTCCATACACTCTTAAAAAGAAAGGTTCTTCACGATGCCATAGAAGAACCTTTTTGTCTAAATGGTTCCATAAAGACCCTTTAACATCTGAAGAACCTTTCTGTTTCACAAAAGGTTCTTTGTGGCGAAAGAGGGTTCTTCAGATTACAAAAAGGTAAGAAAGAGATGGTTCTTTAAAGAACCTTTGACTGAATGGTTCTTTGTGTAACCAAAAATGGTTCTTCTATGGCAGGGGTGGCGAACTCCGGTCCTGGAGAGCCGCAGCCCTGCAGAGTTCAGCTCCAACCCTAATTAAAACTCACCTGCCTGTAGCTTCCTAGTAACTGTTCAGACCTTGATTAGCTTGTTCAGGTGTGTTTGATTAGGGTTGAAGCAAAACTCTGCAGGGCTGCGGCTCTCCAGGACCGACGTTCGCCACCCCTGTTCTATGGCATCGCTTGAAGAACCATTTGAAGCACCTTTATTTTTAAGAGTGTAGGCTATATCAGTGGTTTTCAATCCTGTTCCTCGGGACCCACTGCTCTGCACATTTTGCAGGTCTCCCTTATATGACATACTCATTTGAGTTCTTGGAGCTCTTTCCTAATGAACTGATGATCTGAATCAAGTGTGTAAATTAGGGAGACATGCAAAATGTGCAGAGCTGTGGGTCGGAACAAGTTTGAAAACCACTGGGCCTATATAGCCTACACCAGGCCTATATACACCAACCAAACTGTTTAGGCTACTATTTTAATTTATTGAAGACCTTTTATGCAAATAAAACTATCAGTGTTTGCTTCAGGCCTTCAGCTGCAAAATCAATAGCAAATTTTGAGAAATACACTCTAAGCTACAAACACACAATAATGGTGCGTTCAAGTCATGTTGGATATATCGTATTTACGAGTTGAACGCACATGAACGCCACCACAAAGTCGTTATTATGAGTGGGAAACTCAAAATTTTCTTTAAGCCCAGAGTTTCTGAGTTGGGGGCATGTCAGTGAGAAACATGGTGGATGCAACTTCTGTAGTTGACGGTAAATTTTTGTTTAAATTGATAGTTTAGTTGTCCTATAAACTTAAATTGGTCATGTTCTTGTTACGCAGCTAGTTAATGAAATACAAGTGAAAAAATGCTATCATTTTTGCACCTATAGGTGAAAAACACACCTGATGCGAATTCTTTGCTCTTCATTTTCTATAAGCAGTAGGGATGGGCGTATCGATCCAAAGTATCGATATATCGATACTGACGCAAGTATCGAAAGTAACGATACTCAAACAAAAAATATCGATACTAAGGTGTGTTTTATTTACCAGCGATTTTGTTAATTCAACAACAACAACAAAAATAATGCATACAATATGCATTGAATTGGACGAATAACCTTTGTTAGCGAGTAATTGTGTAGGATAGAACTATTTTCCTGCTCATCTGAACACATGCAAATGTTGCAAGACAGAACTAATCAATCACAGAGAGCGTTCACTCACTTCTGACAGTGCATTCAAACAGGGCTGCGTTTCCCAAAACTATCATAAGAAAGCATTAAAGCTTTTGGGAACGGCGGCCCTGAACAAAGCTTATCAGAAAACAGAAGGACAGAGTTATTTCACAATAAACAAACTGAAATTGTAGCCTACATAGTTTGTGCAATTACAGTTATTTAAATCGAACGTTGAAAGATAATATTGATCATGTTCTATTCTGTAATGTTAATAGAAATCCTACACTGTCAGAATAAAAAGGTTGCATGCAACAGCCGGTCACTGGCAGTCCCTTATGAAAATGGACCATGGTTTTACTAAAAGTGACCATAGTTCAACTGTAGTATTTGTGGATTTGAATCATGTGTAAACAAAAAACATATTTTAACCATGTGTAAACAAAAATATAACCTAACAATTTACAATTAAGGCGTATTGAATGTTAAAATGCGTTTTAAACATAAAGTTAAGTGCTTATTACCCATTTTACTTTTAGTAATTTAATAATTTAATCAATTTCATAATTTAAAAGTTTAGTTCAGAAGTATCGAATCGGTATCAATATCGACGATACTGCCTTGAAAAATATCGGTATCGTATCGAAAACAAAATAAGTGGTATCACCCATCCCTAATAAGCAGAGTTAACAGACCCTGTGGTATTTTCTTGTAATTTATTAAAAGAAGGTTACACCGCCATCTTGTGCCGACTAAACTGACTTGTCAACTCGTAAGTACGAACGTCCCAGGAGGACTTGAACGCAGCATAAGTAATGATAACACAGAAACTGCACAACTATCCTGAGCCAGTCAACTACATATCCCACAAACCTTTGTTCCTAACCCGGAAGAAAATAGTACCACGTGCGAACTTCGAAAACTCGCCGAAAGAAATCGTTCCGGAGTGATTGCGGCTCATCACAATGAAGTAAGTGATGTTTTTGAACGTTTGAATTGAAATATCTCGCGTGCATTTGTTGTCATATGTTTCTAATTAGTCTAAGAAAATTCCTAGACCGGTCAGTATTGAAACAGGAAGTTGAAATCTAAATAACTGGCCTCAGTTTTTGCAGCAGTAGCCAAATGCGAATTATTCATCTGCTAAAACATGAACGTAAACTACTTTCCTTATTCTCGATTCAGTTATTCTTTGTGATTAATTTATGGGACACCGACAAATGACAAGACAAGTAAACGGGTTAACGTAAATGAAACACTAAGGCGACTACTCTTTCGGAATACATAGTAAAAACAACAACAAACATCCTTGTTACGTTACAGTTTACTTTATTGCCACATTTAGATATCTGTGATAAAATGTTGAAACATGTCATTTTTCACGACTTCAAGTAGTCATAAATAACCCCTGATAGAAGAATCATAAATTCTTACACACGTTGATCTTATGATGCAGACGCCACAACAGAATAACAATAATAGAGACAATAAATTGTGTACAGAATAAAAGATATGCTCATTTTATCTCTGTTGTTTATATGCAGTCCGCTCACCAAAGTGAAACTCATCAATGAACTGAATGAAAAAGAGGCTGAACTTGATGTCAAAGACAGTGTGTCCTGGCATTCAGTCTATAAGGACAGCGCCTGGATCTTTATCGGTATGTGACTGCTTAATACTGGGCAATGGGCTTCTTAGACTAAACACTAAAATGCTCTCTGCATAGGCTAGGGGTCTCAAACCCTGCTCCTGGAGAGCTACTGTCCTGCAGATTTCAGCTCTAACCCTGATCAAACACACTAGAACCAGCTTTACAAGGTCTTTAGAGTTACTTGAAAATAACTGACAGGTGTGTTGAAGCAGAACTGAAGTCTGCAGGAAAGTAGCTCTCCAGAGCAGGGTTGGAGATCCCTGGGATAGGCTATATTCTGCCAGATGGTGGCAGCATTCACCTATTTGACACTGATTAAAGGCAGGGTAAGTGATTTCTGGTAGCCAATGTTGATATTTGAAATCACCAAAACAAACACGCCCCTACCCCAAAAGGGTCTTGCCCCTATTTTGATAGCTCCGCCCCACACATACGTACGCAACCCAGGCAACGATTAGTTCTGTGAAACAAAGCAAAACCAATGTTACACCGTGTCTACATCGGACGTGAGCGGCGCGGCGCAACAAATCCCCGACAGAAAACTGCTGCCGGGTTCTATTTATGACGTGCTGACACAAATTTCAAATGGTTTTCAACGGTCGTTTGATCGCGTCCAGTGTAGGCAGACTTTAGCTGTTGTAGACACGCTGTTACTCACCTATTGAGAAGAAACAAAGCAACCTCGGCGTCCGATCGCAGGCCTCCGCTCCTTGAGTTCTCTCCAGCGCTGGAAAGCTGATCCGATATTTACACAGGTCCTACTTCTTGCCTTATCGTTCCGCAGACGTTTTCCTCTTTTGTTTTTTATCCGCCATCTCTATCTTTCTGTCGCTCGGCTCGGCTAATGTCCGTCCCATGCACTGAACGCGCTCTCCTCCACATCACGAGTAGACACGCCCCTTATTGCTGATTGGCTACAAGTTTGTTTTGCGATTCGGCCCGAATCAGTTTTCTAAAGTGTTTTTGAAAAATCACTTACTCTGCCTTTAAGCGTGCTTCTGTACAAAATGGCATGATCTCAGTCTTTCTCTGAAGCCCATTCTAGTACACAGTACTGTAATCCTGATTTGACCGTGTCAAGTTTCAAAGTGATGTATATTCATTGCTCGCATATATTTGCCAGACTAAAGAGAACCGTTAAAAAATGTAACAACATTTTATTAGTGAATTATGTATTTATTTTAATTAATGCCAACCCAGTCAACACTGTATGTAAATATGCTGTAATCTACAGGTGGACTTCCATATGAGCTGACAGAAGGAGACGCCATCTGTGTTTTCTCTCAGTAAGTCCTAATTGCTCATCCCCATGTTTTTGCCTACATTTCAAACACGTTTTAATACGTTTTGCTAAAGAAGTCAGCACTTCAGTTTTTTTTTTCTCCTAGTAAAGCTTGATCCTCCTCTGTGCATCTCAGGTACGGAGAGATTGCCAACATCAACTTGGTGCGAGATAAAAAGACGGGTAAATCCAAAGGATTCTGCTTCCTGTGCTATGAAGATCAAAGGAGCACCATTCTGGCTGTGGATAACTTTAATGGAATCAAGGTGAAAGGCTTCTTCCAGTTGCTTATTCAGTTGTGTGTTTACTACTGGACTATGTTCTATGTGTTAAAATAATCATATTTAATGGGCGCTAGCGTCACGTGTTCATGAGAATTAGGCTAATAATCCCATATAGAAAACATCACAAGTAAAATTAATCATGTTTATAAAGATAAACATGGCTTTATTATAGCCCACTTACAATTTACATTTCAGAGATCATACCAAATAAATTATTAAATGCTACAAACTTCGCGTTGCATTTGCAACCATGTGAAAACAGGGGGTGCTGCAGCCCCCTCAGCACCCCTACTTCCCACGTCCCTGTGGGTGATAAAACAATATCATATCGAGATCGAAAATGTTGTTGATGATAAGCTCTGGACATTTTTACTTGATATGGCTTAATCTTACAGTCTATTACACAGCATAAGTAAAGTAGCCAGTCCATGTATGCCGCTAATAAGTCTGCATGATTGTTGCATTTAAAAAAATAAAAATAAAAATACTACTATCAAATACACACTGAAACTGAAAGTAAAACTGAAAGAACTTCACGATAACGCGTCAGATTAAAAGTCGGGTTTAACTTGAAGAAATTGTCAGAAATATATTACTATTGTATACTAAAATATAATTCTCAAAGTAATAATAGTAGTAATTTAATTATTGTTTTTAAGGAATTTTAAAAATAAAATTTTAAAATGCAATGTTTTGTTGTAAATTTTAAAAGAATGATCAAGCTGTTAATGATTTATCAATTCATTTCATTAGACACCATTTTTTTAATGATAAATTTGTATTGAATCATAAAACAAAATCTAGAAAAAAATAAAATGGAAAAAAGAATTAAAGGGGTCATATGATGCTGCTAAAAAGAACATTATTTTGTGTATTTGGTGTAATGAAATGTGTTTATGCGGTTTAAGGTTAAAAAAAACATTATTTTCCACATACTGTACATTATAGTTTCTCCTCTATGCCCCACCTTTCTGAAACACGTAAATTTTTACAAAGCTCATCGGTCTAAAAAGCGAGGTGTGCTGTGATTGGCCAGCTATCCAGTGCGTTGTGATTGGCCGAATACCTCAAGCATGTGACGGAAATGTTACGCCCCTCACATACTGTTGATGCCGTGTCCCGGCTGGAGTGACGAGACAAAAACATTAAAACCCATTATAAACGAGGCATTTGTTGCATCCAATGGGGACATAATTACGGATTATAATGACTTATACTGTCTTTTTAC